GTCAGCTAATTGGTTCTCAGTAGAATGTGCGCAAGTGTTACAACACACTACATGCTCTCGAATAAAATAATGTCATATGTCAAAATGCTTGGTTCGAGAGTGTTGAACTGGATTTTTGGAAATATTAATAATACTAAGGGTGTATCTGATAGGGGATATTTTCCATGAAAAATGGAATTTTCCATCTTTTGGCATGTTTAATGGTACAAATTTTCCTTAGAAAACTTTTTCCACAATTCTCTCTCACATGTGCCAATTTCATGATTTGGTGGAATTGGTTTTCACACATTTTTGGTGGGAAAATAAATTTCATGTTGCTAGTTTTTATTTTATTTTTGGTAATGGAAACAAATTTCATAATCAATTGTAAAAAAAAATTTCACTTTAATTGACAACCATGTGAAACAAAGCCAAACGAACATTAAATTTAGATGAAAAAAAATGATTTTTTAGGAAAAAAACTTCGTTTTTTTTTTTTTAACTTTTTGGCAAAGGAAAAAAAATTTATAACCAATTGTGGAAAAAATTATCACTTTCATGGAAAATTTCCATGTAAAATAAAGTCAAACAAACACAAAATTTAAAAATTTTTCTGGTGGAAAATTATACCAATCAAATACACTTAATTTTCAATTCCTTGGAAAACAATTTCTAAGCAATTACTTTTCCTGGAATTTATTTTCTTTCCACCCATTTTCCATCCTTGCTATCAAACGGACCCTAATATTATTACAAAACACAGTCATAGTACCCTATTTAATACCATAGCTACTCAACATCTGCTTCATCTAAAGCGGCTAAGTGCAGCAACATCCTGTTGCAATATATTGGGCTTCTACTGCGGATAATGAGATAGAATTTAGTTTCTTACTCATCCAATCAATAAGATTGGCTCCAATGTAAAAACAGCATCCAGAAGTGCTTTTTCTATCATCAGCATTACCAGCTCAATTGGCATCGGAATAACAAGAAAGATCAAGATTAGAATGCTAAGAGTACAGGATCCTAAAATCTACAGTTCTATTGACATATCTGATGATACGTCGTATGACTCTCATGCGAGATTCCTAGGCCTGGAAGCACGAACAAAACCTTACACTAAAAGTTATGCCAGGTCTGCTAGTTGTGAGATAAAGTAAATTACCTATCATACTTCTGTAAAGTGTGTGATCAACTCTCTTACCTATAGGATCATGACCTAATTTGACACTAGTGCTCATAGGGGTTCTAGTGTGTTTCTTGCTGTCTAATCCAAAACGTTTGACAATGTTTTTGGCATATTTTGATTGAGAAATGAACAGCCCATCATCAGTTTGTTTAACTTGGAGCCCTAAAA